AAAGTAATGTATTCTTGATAGTGACATAAAAAGCATTTGATAAAATTAAAAAGCCATTCATGAAAACCAGGAGTACAAAGGAACTTCTTTATCTCTTAAGGAGAATCTATAAGCAAACATATTAAATAATGGGAACACAATAAGAATGTCCATCATTAGTACTTTTATTAATTATTGAACAAAAAGTAGTCACTGCAACAAGATAAGAAAAAAATTAAAGGCCTACAAACTGAAGGGGAGAAGGAGAAACTGTCCCTATTTGTAAATAATAAAATTATATTCATAGAAAATGAAAAAAAAAACTACAGATAAACTATTAAAATTAATAACAAGGTCACTGGAAACAAGGTCAATATTCAAAAATTTTATTTCTATATACTAGCATCAAAAAGAAAATGAAATTTAAAAACAGTAACATTCTGAATACCACTAAATATCTGATAAGTAGGAAAAATCTAAGATGTGCAATAACTATTCAAGAAAGTATAAAACTGAGAGAAAATACATAATATCTAAATAAATGATGATATACCATGTTCATAGAACACTCAGTTTTATTAAATGTCCATTTTCCCCAAACTGAACTATATTCCATGTAATCCCAATCAAAATTCCAAAAGAGAGAGAGAGAGAAAGAGAGTGTGTGTAAGTGCATGTGTGTATGTAAACTGGCAAGTTGATATAAAATTCACTTAGAATTCAAAGGGGCCAAAAGAGCCAAGATATTATTTAAGAACAAAAACATAAATAAATAAAATAGAGACCCACACTATCAATATTGACTTATTATAAAGCTAGTAATTAAGATGATGTAGTATTGACAACTCATGTAATAGAATAGTGAGTTCAGAAACAGATCCATATACACATCCAGTCATACAAAGTCAACAGGATTTCCACATGAAACAAATAAATTATGACCCTTCCCTTACATCATATCCAAAATTCTAGGTAGACTGAAGATCTAAATGTAAAAGGGAAAATACTAAAGCTTGCAATTGATTGATTGATTTATATTCTTCACAATATAATTAAACTTCTAAAAAAAAATGTAAGGGAATGCCTCATGGCCTTCCAACTGGTAAAGATTTTCTTAAGAGGCCACAGAAAGTAGTAACCATGCGGGGGGGCGATAACTAGATGAAGATATATAAATATATAAATTAGATTTTTATAGAGAACTTCTCTTCATCTAAAGATACCATTGAGAGAGTGACAAGGCAAGTCATAGAGTAAAAGATTTGTAATGTACAAAGAATTTACACACAATGTATAGAAAGAACAGCAAATTTGTAAAAAAAAAAAAATAGACAAACTAATAGAAAATAAACACATATAAACAGGTGCTTAACTTCCTTAATTATCACAGAAATTAAAATTAAAACCCCAATGTAATACCCCTCAATATGGCTAAACTGAAAAAGACAGTAACAAGTGTTGTTGGAGATACAGAAAAGCAGGAATTCTTATATATTGCAGTATGCAAGATAATAAAGATAGAAATAGTTATCAGATTTACCCAGCAAAAGACATAATGCCAGTGGGGACATAGGGAAAACGAAGAAAAGAACCAAAGAGTAGCAGGATACTACAGATGCTCGTGGTTACTAAATTGATGGGTAAGTCTTCTTGCAGCCCTGGAGATACAACCTATAGCAAGAAACTACAGACCATCTCATTCCTACCTTACTAGGCAACTATACATTGATGAAGACCAAACACTGTATAACACACACAAACACTGAATGTGCTACATAAAAATCTAAACACTCTGAACGAGTATAATTCAAACCCATGAAACTAAAGGTTCACCTTTGCCTCTTTCTTCTATAGAGTCTATGGGAAAGCTGAATATTATTTTAGCTCTATTAGGTTATGCCTTTAATTTCTTTTACTGGTACAATGTTAACAAGTAGTTTTCATTATTTATTTTAAAATTTTTTTCTATGTTTCGAGAATAAGACTAAATAAAAACTATTCTAAGTTTCACCTAGGTAGAAGTGTGCAAGTATTTCACCAAGTTTGAAGCAATTACCTTGCAAATGGAAGACGCATCAACTTGCACTGTTTACTGACCCGTTTCTTCTTGCTAGTTGGCAGTAGAAAGGGACTTTGATGAAACTATTTTTGAAAAGGATAAAGAAAATGAAAAGAAAAAATAATTTCTAATCTCATTAAATGTTTGTTATTAAAGCACCAAATTATACAAGTATACCAATAGTAATAGAACAATTCTTGCATTAGTCTTCAGTAGTCGAATGAGAATAATGTGATAAGGTTAAACATAGTTCATCCTTTATCATGCCCCCAAAGATAATCATTACTAATATTCTGGTATATAAACTCCCAAACTGTCTTCTCTGCATATGAATAAATACATGTGTGTATACCTGTACATATGATATCTCTACATAAATATGCAGTATGTTCATGTCTACATATGTATTATGGAACATATTATTACATTTTCTAAGCTATATTTTTTAATGATCTTTTTTAATTAAAAGTCTGGGTGATTTTAGTATATCTTTTAAGTTTTTGCTTATCTATATTTTCTAAATTTTCTCACACATTTTTTGAACATGTTTTAATTATTTAATAAAGACCATAAAATTAGGCAACCCACAACCATGTTTTTCTATTACAGTACTAACTGTAATAGAAACAGGAGTATGGCCAAATTGACGAGCTAATTTTAAAATTCACGTGGAAATGCAAAGGACCCAGAATAATTAAAACAACTTTGAAAAAGAAGAACAAAGTTGGAGGGCTATGATAATTGAGACAGTATAGTACTAGCATACAGACAAACAGATCAATGAAATACAACAGAGTCCAGAAACAGACCCACACACATTTGGTCAATTAATTTTTGACAAAGGTGCAAAAGCCAAATGGGGAGCCTAGACTTCCATATTCACCAGGCTATTAACAAGGCCAACTCTGCTCCAAACAAGTGGTACTGTCCAAAAAGGTCAAGAAGAGAGGGAGGACAGCCCAGTGGTAATGAGGACACCCGCTATACCAACTATGTCTGTGGAGAACACATGGGGACTCTAGACTTCCATTCTTACTTGGTAATAACAAGGAGCCCCTCTTCCTCTCCTCTATGGTGGTGACAGAAGAGGTCTAGTAGAAAGTCAGGATTTTCACCACTCTTCAGTTGTAACAACCTCCCCCTTCGTAATTCCTGCAATCCTGCTGTCAGTGGAGGCCAGAAAGTCATGAGGCACCCTCTGTCCCAGCCAGGGTGGTGTCAGCCTGAACTCCCAGCTCCATCCATCAATTAGGAGACACCCCTCCAGAGTGACAATAGAAGTTGAGTAGAAAACCTAAACTTTGACCCCCTCCAACTTGGCAGTACGTGGCACTTTACCACTGGCATGATGTCAAGAGGGACCTGCTAAAATAGAAGGTTTAAATAAGATCTGGAGATTCTTAATATACTACCCAAATGTCCAAGATATAACACAAAATAACTTACCATACCAAGAATTAGAAAAAGGCCTAAATTTGGAAAATACTAAATGTGAACATGAAAAGACAAGACACCAACACCAAGATGACACAGATGCTGGAAAAGAACCAAAAGAACCTTGTCACCTAACAAGGATTTTAAAGCAGCCATCATAAAAATGCTTTAATAAGCAATCACTAACATGCTTAAATGAAAAAATAGAAAATCTCAGCAAAGAAACAAAGTCTCAGCAAATAAAGAGAAGACATAAAGAAGAACCAAATGGGAATTTAGAACTGAAAAATAAAATAACCAAAGTAAAATAAATTAAAAACTCAATGGACTCGGACGCCTGGGTGGCTCAGTCATTAAGCGTCTGCCTTCGGCTCAGGTCATGATCCCAGGGTCCTGGGATCGAGTCCCACATCA